TACTGAGAAAGGACTTTGAGCTCAGTAGAGAAGGCAGGAGTGACCATCGAACTGCAGAACTAGGGCATCCTTCATTTTCTCTGCAGCCTACTGTGATGCAGGCTGATGGGGAAACTTGACAGGCATTGGCTACTTGAAGCAGCTACCACATTTTGGACTGAATGCCCTGTGCAAAGCAGCCAGAGTCCATTGTCCTGGCCCACTTCACTCAGAGCTCCTTGGCCTGGCTGGGAAGGTGAAATCGATGTACAGCCTTGACGTTGTGATAGGAGGGGTTCACAGTCAAAATAGGTGTTTCTTCCATACCATTCTCTTGGGCCTTGAGGATTCATTTAACCTCTCCCCTGTGTCTTCAGACAATCTAAGCTAGAGAGAAATCACAGCTCCAGAGGCCAATTCTGCAACAACTTTGGTAGTCTGAGTGTCTGAAAACCCTTGCCAAGGTCAACTAGAAAATAGGCCCTATGACACAGACTTACTAAAAAGTTCATTTGACAAACGGAGGAATGAGTCAACCAGAAGGAAAAATAAAGTCATAGATTGCCCCATTTCTGGAAAGATGGAGCTTGGGGTCATTGCTGCTGAGGGAGAGAATTGTGAGGGAGGTTCAGAGGCCAGCACCCCACAGAGTGCCCCAGGGCTCTAAGATGGGGAACTGAGAGGCTCTGTCATGACCAAGAACATCAAAAGCTGGAAACACAAAGGAACTTCTGTAGAGTGTCCTGAGAGTAAATTCGAATGATGTTATTTACAAGCAATGATTATCACTGGGGTCTTGTCATTGAAGTTTTTCCTAGTCTCCGTATTTAGACATGATACCCCTTGAGATGATGTATAAATGTTCAAAGACAAAGAGCGTGATGGGAACACTCTAGGGGAACAAGTGGAGGACAAAGAGCCACCGTGAAGAAAGAATTGGAATAAAAGCATTTCCTTGTGGTAGGGAAAGTCAGGGGTTATAGTTTGGGGAAATAACATCAAGTTAAAAAATAATTTAAGACATCTAAACACTTCTGAGCAGCTTCTAGGGGCCAGGCATGAGCGGAGGCTGGGCAACAGGGCATGTTGGCATATTCCCTTGAGTAGTGAACAGCAAATGCAAGCAAACATCTGTGAAATAGCATGGAAGGTGCTAACAGAGGCAGGTAGAAGATAAAGGCAGGGCACTTTCCAAAAAGAAACTTAGAGCAGCACCGAGAAATTGCTGGCCTGCTAAGGACTTTGGCTTGAGATAGAGAACAGTGATCCACTGCTGTTTGCAGATTGAATATTCATAGGTGAAAAAAAAAAGGTCTCCCTTGAATATTCTGAAAGGTCTCTGCCCTGAGGTAATTTGCTGAGACACACATTTGAAGGACCTGTGAGGAGGCCAGAGTATACTCACCAGCCACTTAGCTAGTGAATGGACCACACCCAGCACCTGGCAGCTTACCCAGTGCAGCTCAAAGCTTCTTTTCTTGCTTGGACATATTGTGATTCCAAGTTTTTTCTTTTGTAGAGTCAGGGAAATACAGGGTTAACAAGGAATGGATGTAACGGAGTAAGGAGTTTATTTTAATGGCAAAATTTAAGTAGCTTTAGAAATTACCTTGGCCCCACATTTATAGAAACAGTAAGTGTCTGAAAGGACCCCTTACATTTGTCAGTTATACTTTACTGCTTGTTAGAGTGGAAATTATATGTCATGGTGACATTCATGATTTTGGAGACTCAGGAAGGTCATGGATGAACCCGTTGAGAATGTCAAGGAGCCAAGTCTGTGAATAATAACTTATATTTTATTGGCAATCTACTGGCTATAACAAGGTCACATTTCACGTTTGAAAAAAATAAGCTATAGTCTCTCCTTTATATCGTTTTCTTATAATTTGGAGAAGATCGCCCTTGTCCTTCCCTGTTTATGAAGGTTTAGCAAGTGTTAATGAAAAACAAGGGATGATTTTTACCCGCAGTATTACAGCCTCACAAGCAAATCAGATCAACAAAGATAGCTGGTATGCTTTTTTCCCCCAATTCTATGCTTTTCTCTTGGTCAATTTCCTGAAAACTAATAATCAACCAAACTCCAGCCCTCTCCCTAAAACGCATTTCTAGCACCTCAAACTTAACATAACAACACTTAATTTCAATCTGTTCTACTTCTGTCTCTTTGTTCTGATTCTTAGAATCCCATGCATTTAACTGCTGAAGCTAAGACTCTTCCCCCAGCATCTAATCAGTAACCAACTAAATAAATTTGCCTCTTAAATACTATCAAATCAGCCCCGCCTCTCTGGTTCATGACACTCTCCTAGCTCAGGGCCAAAGGATCTATCATCAGCTGATGCCAGCTCTTATCTGTCCTTTATCCTCCAAATTGACACAACATATTTTTCCTCAAAATGCAAATGTTGTGTTCATTGGATACTGAAGGTCAAGATATGGCCCTATCTACAGCCAGTTCCTGGATATGCAGACAATGGATACACAGAAGTCTTTGAGAAAGGCCTGATTATGAGCTGTTTATCTCCCTGAAATGTTTTGTTCTTTCACACCTCTCTGCATTTTGCATTTGCCCAACTGTCCTCCTTTTCATTCTTCCTTAGTGAGTCTGTATCTGTCCTTCAGGATCCAGTAAAGCAATGACTCTCCTATCTGGGCTCCCCAGTAGTGAATTCAAACCACTAGTAAGGTATGTGTCAAGGTTACAGTAACAGCTGGTTAACAGATTTCTCTTTTCCAGTAATCACAGAGCGCTTGTTCCATCTTGGAATACTAGCACTTAATACAAGGCCTGACACATGCCAAACAGTCAGTAAATATTTGCTGAATGAAAAGACAAGTGATTGAGATCTGTGGCTACATGGTAAAATGAGAGAACCATGTTATCACCGCTTTTGTGTTAATTATAAGGAGAATCAAGGTGCCAGAAAAGTTAACACAGATGAAGAGTGCTTTTAGATCTCAACCAATTTTTAAACTATTTGTCACATCTGTTCTAGCTCAAGACTTAACTCTTGTAGGCTTCCTATGGCCTGTTAGTCCAAGCATTTTACTAGGACACCAGATACTGCAAAAGTTCGTGTAAGACATAAAGAGAATCTGTAAACTTTGAAAATATAAAAGATACCCAGTAAGAGCATCTACTAAATATTTTTTCTGCTCGGCATATTAGACCACAGTGACAAACCCGTGACATAGGTCACACTGTACAGAGTCCAGTATCTGAAGTGGAAGCTTCCACAGGAAAATTACAATGAAGCTGCTGGTCTTTGCTCACTCTTTCACTCACTGACAGGCAGCTGTTGGACAGCCACTACTAACTATGCAGAAATCTGGAGAAGCAAGACAAGAATGGGTCTTTGAGATTCCAGGCTTCCTGTGGGACAGATGGGTTACTACAGACGGGTATCCTGTACTTATATCATTAAGCAGCTACTGTTAAATCTGTTTCCTGGTTCCAAATTGTTTTCAAGTTTCATGTTTCAAGTTTCATTAAGCAGCTACTGTTAAATCTGTTTCTAGTTCCAAAATTGTTTTCAAGTTTCATGTTTCAGGTTACCCGGGGTAACGTCAAGAAGACTGCTAAACATCTACGGCAGGGTTGCCCGCGTTGGGTGGGCATACCTGTTTCAGGGTACAGCTATATCCAAGATGCGGTGTTCAGAAGTCCACCCCACTCTAATTTCCCAGTGCATGGGGCTTTGTTGAAAAAGCGTTTCTGAGATAGAAAAGCTGAACTGGAGCTTCAACCGCAACTCTTGGCATTTTGGTGACTTCGTGTTGGGGCAAAGAGATTCTCTGGAAACCTCACTACATAGCGGGGTGGAAAGAAATGTTTCCAGAGCAAAGTCAGGGAATGAGGCCAGCATCAGTGCCCAGACCTCAGTCCTGCATCTTAGCATACTAGGGGAGCTCAAGCCTAACTGCAACCTAACGACTGCACTACATGCAAGGGCCTGATCTCAGCAGCACTTGCTCCCCAAGCCCTCCAGCCCGAAACATCCACTGGGCTGCGCCCCCAAAGCCCGTGGCCCCCCACCGCGCCCCCTACCCAAGCTTTAGACTACGCCCAGTTCCATCCTGCCCTTTCCACCCCCACCTCGACCATCCTACCCTAGTGCCCCACGCCTACCCTGGAGCGCCACCTCCCGCAGCCCCGCCCCGCCTGCCCACGTGTCGGGCCCCACCCCAGCGCCCGCGGCCCTTTAAACATCCCCACCCTTATCCATTGCCCCCCCACCCGGACGGCAGCCGAAGAGGGACAAAACTCTTGGCGTACAGCCAGTTTCCTCCGCGGATCCCGGCCCGGGCTGCCCAGAGCGTGCGGCCCTCTACCGCGTCCGCCGCCCCCAGCATCCCAACCCCCCAGCCCCCGGCCGGCC